CTCAAAGGCTATTTGGAAATGTCAGGCTGTCTTAGAGTTTCAGATCCTGTTATAGCAAGGATGGTGTTGTTTAGGGAGCTGGGGAAATGCTACATGTGGGATAGTCATAGCTGTAATCACCACTGCATGGTACCCAGTACTCAAAGCTGACATCATTGGCGTTTTTCAGTCTCCTTGATCAAATACACTGCATGGGGCAAAGTCCCTTCAACAAACATAATTGTTGTTCTTGAGGTTCTGACCTAGTATGTCCCATAGGGGCAATTTCTGGACATCTATGTGGCTCTCCTGTGGTTCCCTAGGTCCTTGGGCCCAGGTTCAAACTTAGGCAGCAGAGGAGCAGATGAGTGAGGCCCACTGCAGACCTCATGTCCTCCAGGCCAAACATACCAGTTGCTTTTAGGCTCCCTGGAGGAATGTTCTGCTGCCACCTCATTCAGCCAGCGAAGAAGGAAAAAACAATTGGTGCCAGATGAGGTGACAGTGGAGCATGCAACAGGAAGTTTGTCTCCAGCACCACATCTAATGAGCCTGTTATTATAGGCTCTTGGCAGAGCGAGGCAAATTGAATGCTAATGAAAAGCAGGTTCTGAGAATAGTTGAAAACTTCATGTTAGTCCCATTACAGGGTCTCTTTGAGTCACAGAGGGTTATTTGCATGATAAGCTAAGCATTCCATTGAAACAGGACTCACGTGGATATGCGTGAGAAGGAACTAGGCAATAATTGCAAAATTAACAGCTGTTTAAATAATTCAATAGAGAGGCTAAGGCTGAAGAATATTATAGGCTCATTGTTCAAGTTTTAATTATCCTAACAGCTGTCTCATCATACAGCCTTACTTTTTTGGGCAGTGGAGGCCATTGGAGAGGTCTGGCTGAGTTGGTCTACTGAAACTTCCAGTGTTAAAGAATTTCATAGCTAACTCCTCTTCCCAGGAAGTACTCAAGTAGAAATAGAGGTGACCAATAGTGTCAGGGAGCTCTGTTAAATTGGTGTGTCCTGGGTATTTAAATTCCTCATTGCTTTGTCCCATCTGTGCAGCCATAGGACGTAGGGAGTATTAATAAAGACGTAAGTATGCAAACTGGAAATGAATTACTATATTAATCCAGGGGACCTAATCAGCCCAAGTCCTGCTTTCTCTGCTCACTGCCCCGGAAGTAAAACCTTAGGCTGCTGAAGCCTCAGGCCTTCCCTTATGTCCAACTCACTTCCTTCCAGCAACCATTTCTCCCCTGAGAGCTGGGAGCAATCATCAGAACCCCATCATAGTCATGATGCTAACAGGGCCCAGAAGTACATATTTGACTTCTCATTTGAATCAGTGTCTTTGCTAAAACCCAACATGTGGACGTCAGAGGTTGCATCTGGTGAGAGCTTTAGCCTCCAGGATGGATATACAAATTTCTGTAGTGTATCTAGTCTCTTTAATTGCTAAGGTATGGACAAACTGCATATTTAATTTGAGCAGACCCCTCATTTCCTTCAGGTTTATGTTCAAATGTCCCTTTATCACAGAAACTTAGCCTGACCACTTGATATAAAATTGCATTACTTCCCTATGTCCTATTCTCCACCACCTTTACCTTTCTCCTGCCACCTATTGCTACTTATAAAAGATTTATCTACTCTCTGGTTTTCCCTCTACAATGTCTACTCCATGAGAACAAAGACTGTCTTTTTTGTTTATTGCACTATTTTTGGCTCCTAGACCAGGGTAGAACCTGTAATATGTGGCCAATAGAAATTCATGGAATACACTTGATCTTAGCCAAAAGGCCGAGAAGCGATTAGAAATTCATGGAATAAATGAAAGAATGGTAAGAGCTTGCTGAAGTGTATGCTGCCAGCCTATCTGTAGAGGGGCTGCATTCCTGGAAGAAAACAAGGTACTCTTGAGAAATTCTTAATTTCTTTTAGCAAAATTTGTCAAGCACTAAGTACTAGATGTTAAAAATCACAGTCCTGCTCTCTCAGGACGCATACAGTGGTGCAGGACGCAGTTATCTAAATTAAATCCATTCATTAAGATCCAAGTCAGAAATCAGCCCCTCCTGGGAACTTTTCTTGAGCACCCCTTCTGCCTCGATTTTCTTTGGCGTCTTTTGCAAGACTTCATCTCTATCCATATGACAGGCAGATGATTACAGTCTGTTCCCTTCCTTAGTAAAGGCTTCTTAAGAATGAGGATTGTACCTTACTCATTACTGAGTATGGTGTCTGATACCAGAGATGATCAGTAATGCAAGTTACCCATTATTGCTGCTGTTGCTGTCTGCATTCAGTAACCAGCATTTCATAGCTGTGTGTGTCACGCAGTTTTAATCATGATATCTATTCTTTTGAAGTTATGTAGGCTTAGAAACAGCTCTCTATTATGTTATATAATACTCTATAATGCCATGTTCCATAATATTCTCTATTTTGGAATCTGTTTGTGTTCTGAAGTAGTGATTAATTAGGTAGGTGTAAAATTCTACAAAGTTTTGGGGGGCAGGGTCCCTGAGTCCCAGCTACAGTTTAAAAAATGATCACCAATGTGCATATGTGAGACACTCTTAGAAGCCTGAAGCATCTGTTTAATTCAAAGAGCACAAGTCACAGGACTTCTCCCAATAAATACTTGTGGGTTCGTGACATTTTGGTGCTGCCGCTTTGATGTGGCTGACTTGATTGAGGGCTTCAGGAACATGTTGTCATGGCCTGAAAAGCAAACCATTAAATAGGCAGCAATTTTGAACAACTAAGAAATGTGTGCAACAGGCATCCAGCCACTTCTCAGGACTGGGTGTGTATGTTAGCCTAATATTTGTATGTTTTCACTTTGACATGGCTGTTTTGATGCCTGAAGCTTCATTGCATCACATGGATCTTGCCAGAACGTTTGCTTTACATAACTTGCTAGTCTCACTTAAATATCAACCATGTGCCTGATTCTAATTTCAATGGCGGGGGGAATGCCATTCAGTTCAAAGAAGAAGGCAAGGATATTTACCATCTCAAGGGGGCCATAGAGTTTTGCCAAGAGTTGGCTACGGAAATACACAGACCCCTTCAGAACACATACTACCTCTCTTCTTTGTTGCCCATTTCCTGATTTAGAGCTTCATGTTGCAGTATTGGCTAGAGAAATGTTTAAAAATGGAAAGGGATCCCAATGCAAACATAGAAATATGGTCTACCCATGTTAAAAAGATCAGTTCGATCATTTTCTCCTGCTGTGCTGTAAAAAGTGCTTTGGTGTCTGTTTTACTTGGCAGTAGGAGGAAGTGGTATTAGTGGCTCACTGATCAGAGAGGCCCTTGTCCACAGGCTGTGGGCACACATGCCCTATTTTCTTCCTTAGGTGGTCTGAGTGATCATTAGTGCATGCATGTATTGAGAGGTCAGAGGTTGCCTCAAGCATTAGCTAGATGCTAGGCTACTAAGAGGAGACTAACAAGCTTACGTATTGACTAATATTTTCATCTGAATATTCGACCAAATCATGCAAAATTATTCCCAATGTTAAAACATTTTGGTAGCAAGTATATTAAGCAGCCTGTTATGAAAAAAAAAAAGCAAGCCATAATATTGTATTTGAGTCCCTGGTTTTAACCTTGAGAGTGAAAGTTAAGTTCTTGGCATCCTATTGGAATGGTGGTGCAGTTGGGTAGGTCAACTGAATTTAATGTCATCCTTGTTGGGAACTTGACAAGTAGTGTCTCTTCTTCAGGTTCCCTGGAAAAAGGAACTTCCCATGACAAGCACAATGCTAGCATATTATTGTTTAATTTTCATGTGGTAGGTATCACACCATGGTTTTCACACTTGACACAGCTAGCGTGAGACAGAGTCAGTATTTGGAGCCACTGCTCTCTGACTCTAAAGCTCACAACCTTCTCACTATAGCAGATGATTCCAAGTCACTAGTCTGCAGATAGGCATTGGTTCCAGATGAAGGTTTGTGTAGTCTGTGGTGAGAATATCTGGGGAAGGGTAACTCCTTGGTATCTTAGAAGCCACTAGCCTGTCATCTGCACAGGGACAGTAGCCTGTCCTTCTAGATATTAAAAGCTTTTCCTTTTCTTGTATCAAATGATGGTGGATGGAAATGGCAGCTATAAAAATGTCCAAAGTTGGCAAAGTAAAACCTTGGCATCCCTGTGTCAATGACACAAGCTTAATTGTGGAATCTTATTGGCCTGGGAAATGACAAAGCTGGGGAAGGAGCAATGTCCCCATTTCCCTGCCCAGGGCTCCACGGGGCAGACTGCCAGGATGACTTGAGTTCCCTGAGGTTTAACCAAAGCTTCATTGGCAGAAGAAAGTGATCAAAATGTTTCTGAAAACCATACTCCTTTGACTCCCAGTGGTCTTGACCGGTGGGCAGTTCAGCAGAGTCCTGATAGTACAGTGGCCTTTTAAAAAACACAGTAGGTTGAGCTCTCTTTCAGCTGGATGAACTGTCTTTTCTGAAAGAGAGGAAGACTTGGGTTCTTAGCATCTGTGACTTTTATAAGATGTGAAAAGCTTGAGCTTGGAGGCCTTTTCATTTTGGCATAACTCAGGCTGCTGCTCTCCTGAAAACATCACCTTTTTGCTGTTGTTAAAAGAATGAAAGAGCTCAGATTTTGGAGCCAGGTATATCTGGATTTGAATCCCAATGTCCTCTAGCCTTGAAACCTTCAGCAAGTTAGTCTCTGTAAAATGGGGTGGAAATACTTCTCTCCCAGGGTCTACACTGGGGGCAACTCTTGGAAAAACCTATCACTCACTGCTTGTGGGATTCCCTTCTTTACCATGAGGATCCTCAGTCTTGGGAATCAAAGCACCTGACACACAGGTGATTGGCGTGTCATGTTGTCCTACCTACAGACAACCTGGAATCCAGAGTGCCCTGAGTCACACTCGTTTTCTGTCCCCAGCGGTGTGGTCAGGGCACTGTGACCTGAGCCACTGAAGGCATGTAGGTGTGGTGCCCACGGTCTCTAACCACTGCTCCACTTCCATTGCAGTGCCAATAATATGCCGAAGCAAGTGGAAGTGCGCATGCACGACAGCCATCTCAGCTCAGAGGAGCGGAAGCACCGACACCTAGGCCTGCGCTTGTGCGACAAGCTGGGGAAGAACCTCCTCCTCACCCTGACTGTCTTTGGTAGGTGCCTGAGCCACCCAAGCCCTCTTCTCTGGTGCTTTTCTGGCTCTGTGGGGGAGCTGGTCTGAGCAGCCAGTCTGCTCTGCCCAATGCCCAGTTGGTTCAGGTATCACTGCTGCAGTAGTATCATCCTGAATCCAACTACTGCAGCTGTGTGCCCTCCTCCTTTGGGTCCTAGTGGTTCTCCCACTTTACACATACGGGTTCCAGTAAGAGTGTCAGCATGCTGATTCCTAGGCCATCCCCATGGAGACTGCCTTGGAGCATCTGCAGTGAGGCCCTAGAATCCACATTTAGCAAACCTTTAGGTGATTCCAAAGCAGGTAGCAAGAGGATCACATTTAGAGAAGTACCTGCATCAAGATAAGATGACCATGGCAGAAAACCCCACTAAAAGGATGCCCAGACTCTGGCCTTCTGCAAAATGTTAAGTTAGATTAATTGGGCACTTTAACTAGGGAGGTCAGTGTAGCACTTTATCCTGATACCTTGACCTGCTCCAGCTTCAACTCAAAAGCCTTCCGTCTTCCCTCCTCAACCTGTGGTGGTTCTTTTGTATAGACTGTTGATAGAATCTCAGTGTTAAATATTCCACCAGGGTTTGTGGAAATGAGGTCAACTGCAGCTTCTTATAATGCCAGCCATGCCATCTCTCTTCTGTCTCTCCCTCGTTCTTTGGTTCTCCCTTTAGCTACGCAGGGAAGCAATACCAATTCATTGTTCCCACTCTGTCATACTGACCCCACACCCACCCACACATCCTCCATCCTGTGGCCTCTCCTTCGAGCCAGTTTTCTCATCTGTCAGGGTCAAGACCAGGAGGTAACCACTGTTCAGTTCACGTAGTGATAGGAAACCACAAGCATGGCTGGGTGTCACAAGGGCTACCCTCCATGTAAACAGATCTCATTCATCACAGGACTGTGAAGAAGCTGGACTATGATTCTTTCTTGTAGAACAGTAAGGTCAGACTTTCAGTCACATCACTCCCTCCATGTTCCTAGAGTTAATTCCTGGAATTAACTCTATAAATCAGACCTGGGAACTCCTCCCCTCCTTTACAGCTAGACTTCTACGCAGCCTCACTGATGGTCCCTGGCCGTCCTTTACATTGGCCATCCATCCATCCATTTTCAGAGATTTAAATTTTTTTGTTTTTTGGTGGGATCTGTGTATCTGTAAAGGACAAGGGGCCTGGCAGAATCTCTGTCTAACTTGGTTCTTCTAAAATTATAGATTTTTAAAGCCTCTCCTTGAGTTTCCATAAGATCGGTAAGTCTAGGAATTGAGTAAAAGGACCTAGAAATCAAGGACAAATCTGGAAAGTAGATGGATGGAGATTTGCAGTAGTTTGGTCAATTAAACATTTTTATCCGGCCTCCAGTTAAAATGGATGACACATTTAATAGCCAAGGCATGTGGCCAGTCCTGGGCTGGGAGGAGAAGCCATATCAGCCAGTGTGAGTTGTTTCTACTGAAAATCTCTGGTGTTACAATAGGAGCCAAGTCTCCTTCCCCACCTCACCTTTAGAAGGCTCTCCTTGATTCTTCCAGTGCTGCTTGTTAGAATAGTTGGAGCTGTAGAAAGTCCTCTTTATAGTTGTCAAATCAATTTCACTTAATGTTTTTACTATATCTGATATAGGCATCTGTAGAAAAAGGGAAAGGGCGTGTTACCAGAGACCCCTGCAGTGGTCCTGGTCTCCTGTGAGCCAATACGATGTCCGCGAGATAGAAAAGTGGGAAATAAAGACACAGAGACAGAGACTTGAGAGAAACTGAGTCTTGGGCTGATCTAAGCTGCTCTGGGCAGCAAAGACAAAGGACTCCCAGGACATCTGGTGTTTATTACAAGTGTAGGAATGGGAGAAGCTGGGCAGGCCTGGGGACACCTGCTGATAACAAGTATCAAGCAGGCAGGACGGTAGAATGAAGGCACAAGCATATCTTTTGTGAAGAGAACAAAGGGTTAATTCAGAGGGGAAAAATTTAGCTGGAGTCAGTTGACCTTGGCTGGAAGTGAACTCAGCCAAGCTCTGCTGCTTCCAGTGTAACACAGGGGCAAGAAGCTTGTGTCCCTATAGCCTGCTAATACTGGGCAGAGGTGTCTGCTGCAGGCATCATCTAATAAGGCAGAAGCATGAGAAAGGTCAGTTTCACCAAGAAAAGAACATACCTATCCATTTGACTAAGGCAAAAAATAAATTCAGATTTCCCCCCTTTTCTGCTTCCTTGTAGGTGTCATCCTGGGGGCAGTATGTGGAGGGCTTCTTCGCTTGGCCTCTCCCATCCACCCTGATGTGGTTATGTTAATAGCTTTCCCTGGGGACATACTCATGAGGATGCTAAAAATGCTCATTCTCCCTCTCATCATCTCCAGTTTAATCACAGGTAAGACCACCTCTCTGGTGTCTCTCCAAAGGGAATTATTGTCCTGTCCTGGCTTTCATATTGACTGTAAATTCTACATTTGGCCAAGTGAGTGAATGTGATCATCTGTGTCATTTCACTTCAAAGCTTTGGATTTCCTGCCTCTGAAATGGAGATGATCAACCCTAAAAGAAAAAAATGCTTGCCATCTGTTGATTGGGCCACCTTTTTCTCTAATCACAAAAGATAAAAAGGAAACAGCCCACATGTTAAAGCGATATCTCTAGTGATTTTAATTTTTAATGTATACTTTCTCAATTTCCTAAATTATGTTTTGTTCAGAAACTGATAAAGGTAACAAATGGAAAAGGACATTGTCTTTATTATTTAATTTGGCATGGACAGTGGTGAGCACTAAAAATAAATGAAATGTTAGAAATGAAAGCCCTTTGACTTTTTTAGGAGAAGGGTGCTGTTAAAGTGTAGCATCGGGCTTACTTATTTTTGGCTAAAAGGATTAATTATTATATGTAAGAGCATTTTTTCCCTTTGCCATAGGGTTATACTGTTAATTTCCTTCTTACTAAATAATATTGCTCCAGCAGGGCATTGGTTGGTGTTTAAAGACTAGCTCTTGAGCTGAGGATGCGAAGCTGGGCCTTGTTCCATATATGGGTGCCAGTTATCTGTGACCTTGAGAAATTGCCCTCTGGACTGACCATCTTATGTAGGAGGTGAAGTACCAATAACACCAAGAGATTCACATGTTGTTCTTGGTTGTTTTAAAGTCCCATAGGTAGCTGACCACTGAATCTAGTGGCTAGAGCTCAGGATCAAGTGCTCAGGGGCTCGGTGGGGTGTTATCAGTCACCCCTAGGTTGAGTGAATCTGTGTTTTTGCTTCAAGTGGTTCCTTCCAAACCAGAGAAAATGTTCTCCACACTTGTTGAACAGATTGTATGTAGGCCAAACTGGTCAGGAAACCTGACTTTCATTGGCCAGAATTAGACCATAGTTTGTAAAGAAAAGGAAGTCATATATAGGTCAGTTTCAGAGAAGTTAACATCAATGACTTCTCCCCCACAGCAAAGAGGATGGATCCCCAGAAAGAGACTAAATCTTTCTTGACTAGTAAAAGAAGGAACTGAAATCAGGAAGTGGACACATTGAAACAACAACTGGAAAAAAAACCCAGTGAGACTGGAGTTTTTGTGACTTGCTTGGAGTTTCCTCTAACCTCCCTCAGTATAGATGAAGCACCACCGCTGGCAGCTGCCTTATGCACGTGTTTTCTGATCCCTACATGAGGTTGGGAAATAAGGAACATCATGCTTCGCCTCAGAGAGATGAGAGGGCTCTGCTGAGTCCTCATTCTCAGATTCTGCATTTCAGTGACTAGTGAGGTATTCAAAAGGCATTTTGAGCCGCACATGGATCTACCAGCTTTTTATTTTCCTAAGTCAGGACATTAAGTGATACTAATAAACATGAGAAACTAGTGTGTACCAGCACCATCACTTCATAAAAGAAAGGATGCCATGATGGAAAGGACATCATCTCACAATTAAAACTGAAATATCTTCAACTTTAAGTCACACTTGCACATTGACAAAAATGTAGTGAACAACCAGTTGCAAACTCTGAACCAGACAGTTGCCTGCTCTCCTTAGTTCTCAAGAATCTTGAAAATAAACATGGAAAATAGTCAAATATTTAGTACTAGATTTAGTTAACCATGCATGCATTTGAGTAATAAAAAGCCAAGGATTCTAGACGTGGAGAAATGGGTCATTAGCAGATACATAACAAAATTAATCTTTCTGGATTGCTTTTCAACCCAGGGTTGTCAGGCCTGGATGCTAAAGCCAGTGGTCGCTTAGGCACGAGAGCCATGATATATTATATGTCCACGACCGTCATCGCTGCTGTGCTGGGGGTCATCCTGGTCTTGGCCATCCACCCTGGGAATCCCAAACTCAAGAAGCAGCTGGGTCCTGGAAAGAAGAATGATGAAGTCTCTAGCCTGGATGCCTTCTTGGATCTTATCCGAAATCTCTTCCCAGAAAACCTGGTCCAAGCCTGTTTCCAACAGGTAACCTGAAGTCCTGGTGGTCTGTCTTCTCCAATCATCTAAGTTACTGAAGTGGTAGCTTAGACCACTCTGGGTAGCAATTGTCTTAATATTTAATTGTCTCTGTCTAGGCCCAGGGTTGTATGACACGGTCTGGGCTAGGATCTTGACTTGGAACCTTGTGGTATTTTTTAACTCCTCCCCCCTTTTTTCTTGCTTGCTTAATGTCTCTTTGCTCTGAGATCTGCTTTCTTCCTCTTCTTCCTTTTCTTTAAGTTGCTATCTCTGAGTAATCCACAAGTACATTTTTATCAGTCATGCCCACAATCCTTTGAAATGCCCAATGATGCTCAGTCTTGCAGCGTAGCAAAACCACGTGTAGCACTTTTAAAAATATATAACTAGCCTATAGAATCAGAGTCTGTAATCTTCCAAAATGCATTTGAGGTCTGGATATTTTTTTAAGTTGTGGATTTGAATAGTATGTGTGGACCTGAAAAGGCTGAATAGTATAGAAGTACATAAAATAAAAATTAGAAGTTCCCACTCTCCCTCCAAGAGCTACTCATATTGGGCATTGACTCCTATCATACATCTTTTTTCCCATGTGTGCATGTGTATATGACCTCGAAAACAAATTCAACCCATGATGCCTCTTGCTTTTCTCATGCAGCAGTGTAAAAGGTTCGTTCCTTTTTCTATGATCATGTAATATTCCCAAAGAATAATGAATTCCTAGAAGTGGAAATGTCTTGAAAAAAGCTGTAGAATTTGTTGAATGTTGCAACATGGCACTATAGAAGTCATTGGCAGTGTGTATACTCCAACCAACTGCATACATACATATGGATTTCTTTTAAACTTGTGATCTTTAAAAACAGATGATTCTATTGAGTAGAACCACTGAGTCAGCTGCCTAGGCCCCACTCATGACTAGCTCATTTTCTGTTCCCACAGCAAGCCTACATTAGAACACACCTCAGTTCTCAGCAGCCCAGCTAGAGGCTAAGCTAGATACACTGGGACTCCTCTAGCCATTTCCAGGAAATCACAGAAAAAAATGAATTTAGGAAACAAGAAGCTTAGAGGAAAGTCTGTATTCCCAGCTGTCCCTAAAATGCAGTTGCCAATCCATACAGAACCCAGATTACTTTAGGCCAGGATATGATCTCTAATTTTAAATACCATTTTACAAAGAAATGATTTGTAATGGAAATGATGGATATGCTCATTAACCTAATTTGATTATTACACTGTGTATACATGTACAGAGGAACAGCACAGTATACCCTATAAATACAGTTCTTACAACAATTAATAAAATAAAACTTCAAAAAACATTTAAATGCCATTTTGGTGATACGGGGAGCATGGACCTGTATTAAAAGAAACTGTCCTAGGCAAAGGAGTAGGATGAGGAGTGACAAAGAGATGGAGAAAGGGGTGCTGCTGTAGCCCTCTCAGTGTCATGTGCTTGTTTTTTCTGCTAGCCAGAGTAGAAAGATGAAATTGCTTGCTTTGGAGCAATAGACCCACTGACTGCCAAGTATTTTCTTGATGTTATAGAAAGCTGCCTGGGAGTGAGCTAGGAGAAGATTGAGGTTGGGAGCCCTGGGAAGGTCAGATCTGGGTCTGCTGGCTTGGTCTGTTTATCTTAGTCCAAACACCTAGTAGGCAGGACCAAGAAGCAGCCAGGTCCTTGAGTGGTTGCTTGGGTCTTGGAGTGAGTTTTGGAGGGATTGGCCATGTTCACGCTCAGGGACCTCTCTGTCAGTGGGCAATCTTTGCAGTTAGCTGCCTATGGCAGGGGACTCTGTCTGCAACTATGGGATGGAGGACATTCCCTGTACCACCTCCACCCTGATTCCATCACTTCACAGGCAAAAATTATATGAGCAATGGTTCCTAGTCCCCCAGCTAAGCACAGTCAAAGTCCCTTTGAGTTCAGACAGTCTGAGGAATGACAGTGTAGAACCCATCCTCCACCCAAGGTAAAGGTGGGTATATCCTTAAGCATGGCACACAGGGTCTTAAAGAGGTGTTGAGGTGAGGAGTCCATTCTTAGAGTGTCATGGCATTCCCCAAAAGAGAGCATACACAAGAAGTCGCTTTCATGTCCCTGAGGGATGACAGGAAGTGACTTAAAATCATATCTCTTGAGTGATGAAGGCTTTCTGGTCAGAAATCAAAAGAATCAGAGATCAAAAGAAGCTAAGCTGTCCCTGGAATGGAGGCTGCCTCACCCACGGCAGCAGGGCGTGGCTTGCCCACATCAGGTCCCTGGGTCTTTGAGAGCAGGGAGGGAGGCAGGAAGTCCTGCTACTTGCTGTCTGGCTGTAAGGTTTCCAAGAGAGTAACTGGCTATAAAGTGTGGCCTGACAACATTAAATCAAGTCCAGCAACAGAAGTCACATGGGATCTTTTCCTCTGGGGAATTCAGTGATCAGTGTGTGTGTTAGTTACTTTTCTTTAGTTACTGAGACAATGACAGAAATACCCGATACCCAAAGTTAAAGGGGAAAGAGTTTACTTAGTTCACAGTTCATAGAGCTTTCAGTCCATAATCAGCTGGCTCCGAGGCAGAGTGGCACATGGCAGACGGGTGTCACAGAGGAGAAACAGTTCATGGCACCTACAAAGTAGCAAAAGCACCAAGGGAAATTTAACAGCATCTTTCTGCCCCTTTTATTTTATCCAGACTACCAGGATTAGGGTTGTGCCAAACCGACGGTGTACTGGTTTAGTAACACACCCTTAATCCCAGCATCACACACTCTAGATTCAGTTACCTCTGAAAAAGCCACCTATGACTGCATGAGGCTTTGGGGGAACATCTAGACACAAACCATAACGGTGTGTGTGTTCACCCAGCCACTATTTGTGAGTGCTACTGACTGCTGGGCTCTTTGCTTAACAAAAGATGCCACAAGGAATGACAGGGACAAGGGCCCAGCCCCATGGACCTTATGTATGTTTAAGAGGCAGGAGAGAGCCTGAAGCAAACTAGGTGCACACACATGAAACTTAAAAACTGTGAGAGCTAGAGTCAGGAAAAGGATGGACTGAGTAGTAACTAGTAACGCCAGGAGATGTCTGAGGGGATCAGAATGAGTGAGGTCAGAGAAGAACTGGGGAGAGCCCTTGAGCAGCCTGGCAAAGGCTGGAAAGTATTTGGTATGCTCAGAGAAGAGAAGGGAAGCTGGTATGTGGAGAATGAGTAGTATTGAGTGAAGAAAGGAAAAGCCAGCTCAGGCCAAGCTCACATTTGCATTCTTACTCTAAAGGGGTTTGAATCAGGGAAATGACTGGCTCTGGTTTTTTAAAAAATCAATCTGGCAGCTGTGGATATAGAGGGAGCTATAGGTAGCCATACTTTTCCGTAGATGGTAGGTAGACAAGAAGAAAGGGGGTAGTAAGTTAGGAGGCTTTTGTAGACTTTAAGGAGAGAGATGATGGAGAATGGGATGTGGTAGACTGGAGCTGGTACCCGGATGGAGTTGTACAACACTAACAGGCTCTGTGAATCCAGAATTCAGGTGAGGACCAGGCCTCAGTTCCGGTGTTCCTATCCCTTCAGCTTTAACTGAAACCCCTGCCCTGTGCTGTTTGGATGTAAGATTTTGGAGTCAAACACATGATTTTGAACCCTGTTTCAGTAACGAATCAGCAGCCTACTCTTGGGTTAGGAATCTGCCCTTGGGTTAGTTACTGCTAAGAGGTAGTAGATACAAATAAAATAGCATGTGAGCTCTTACCTGAACTTGAAAGCCACATTTAGATCCATGATCGTTTCTCCAGCTAACCTGAGCTTTAGCTTCCTTAGCATTCTCAGAATAGGTGGCCAGCTTTCTTCCCTGGGTGCATGACTCTGCTATACTCGTGACTTCCATTCTGATCATTCCTGTGCTGTCTTTTCATGCCACTGGTGCCCAGAGCAAGGGGTGAGGGACCTGCCTGTTCTTCCACACAGCTGACCCTGGGCATCCTTTCTGCTGCATCAGAGCATGTGGCCAGGCTGGGACTGAGACACCTGCCTCACCTCTGGGAACACCACCTTTGTCATCTGGTCGGCTTGGCCTTGCTGCCTGTTGGGCCCACTGTGGGAGGATCAAGTCCACATAGTTTGCCATTCAGTACAGGGAGCGGGAAGAACTCAGTAGCAGTCAGGCTATTGAAGTTGAAGTCCCAGCTCTGCCAGTAACTGTGATGTCCGCAAAGTCACTTAACTTCTCCATGCATCCTCTTCCATATCTATTCAGGGTTCAGCCATCTGCCACCTTCTACATGCCAGCGCTGACATTCTAGGATTCTGCATGAATTTTATTTTAATGCCCTGGGATATGGTGGGCTTGGGGGATCAGATGTGAATTTTCTCAGCAGTCTGCATGCAGGGTAGGATCACTGCCTCGGATGCTGAGGAAAAGCGTGAGAGGTTCTTCGGGACCCATCTGCAGGCTTGGAAAACATTGAACAAGGGTTAGTTGGTATAGCTGCCCAGAAGGAATGGATATTTTCCAAACTTACATTTGGATCTGGAATACAAGCAAGTGCTCCTGCCATGGTGGCTGCTGCCACTGTTACGCTTGGTGCCCAAACAGAGATCCCAGTGGAGCTTGGCTCTGGAAGGAGCCCAGACTGAGGGTTGGGCTGCAGTGACTGTCCAGCAGGCACAGAAGGCCATCTAGCTGGGTCACACAACTCTGAGGGCCATCCAAGTCAGGCTTTTAAACTTGTCCCTGAGGCCCAGAGGTACGATCATGAGAATGAAAGGAAATGACATCCATCCCCCAGTTTTAAGCTTGTGTCCCATTCCATTAGGTCACAATGCTTGTAGCAAAGTACAAGCTAATTTTATAAATTCTGCCATTGTTTAGGATTAGGACAGCTGCATGCAACTATATGTGTGTGGTAAAATGTCACTTTGTTAAACAAACATAAAACATTCTCCAATGTTCATAATGTTGTTTGGGCGTTTCTTAATTATTTTCAATATAAAATACTTTGGCCAGATTTTGTTGACCTTTCAGACTAAACCTCATCTTTATGATTTTCTTCTTCTTTTTTTACTCCCTTAGATTCAAACAGTGACAAAGAAAGTCCTGGTGGCCCCTCAGACAGAGGAGGCCAATGCCACCAGCACCCTTGTCTCCCTGTTGAACAAGACTGTGACAGAGGCCCCTGAGGAAACAGAGATGGTTCTCAAGAAGGGGCTGGAGTTCAAGGACGGGATGAATGTCTTAGGTAGGCAGACTGGTGGTCCGGGGTTCATCTTCCTGGGGGTGGTGCCTCTGTCTCCTTGATGATGGTGGCCCACCTTTCCTGATGCTCATTCGCCAACCCTGGGCTCCTCAGCCTCCCTCCATCCCTTGTCAGAAACTGATAACTCTGTTGTCCTCTAGGTGGAGCAGGAGGCTCTCTCTGGGGAGCAGTTGGAAAGCCAAGGGGTTTGAGAACCAAGCAATTAAGGAAGAGGGAGGAGAGATGGGCAGAAGACAGAGCCTCAGAGGACTTAGTGGCTAGAGTCTGGAGTCCGGCTAGGAAAAGAGGAAGGGGCTGACATTTGTTGGGCACATCCCCTGACTCTCTGGATGGTCTTGGCAAGTTACCTTGCGTGATTTTCCACATTATTAAATTACACATCCATTTCTCCGTTTCTTTCGTTTCTTAAGCAGTTTTTGAGCTGTGCCTGTGCACCAGTACTTTGCTAAGCACGGCATTGCCTGTCCCCACCTCTCACCATCTATAAACAAATGTAAAGCTATCCATATTGTAAAGCATTGAAATAAGAGCCAAAGGGGCTTTACAGATTATCTTGTTTAGCTCTCTGGGATTCCAGTAAGCCCTTTCCCCCAACCTAGTAACTTCTTAGCATTCCACCCCAGAGCGACTCTAATGCCGAGTAGACTTGGGCTTGGATCCTTGTGGGCCACTCCCTGATTACCTGACCTTGGGCAAGTTGCTCCACTTCTCTGAGCCTCAGTTGTGAAATGGAGATGGGACTGGCTTTGGGTCTGTAGATCACTGGGAGGATTAAATGAGGTTGTGCATGTAAAGCACAGTAGTACCTGTCCTGTGCTCTATTCAGATGAAGTAGGACCATTAGTAAAAGTGGGTGGTGAGCTGAGGAGCTCAATCAGAAAACAGCCCTTCAGGGCATGACATTTCCTTCAGGTGAGAGTCTCCTTTGCTCACTTTACTCCCAGTCATTTCCATTTTAGGGGTTCACTCCCCTCCAAAATCCACATCCACGACTAGGATGATATTCCCAAGACAAGAAAGAGAGACATTTTTTCAGTCCATAGAATTGGAGAAATAGGGTATCTGGGTTTCTAAGCAAGGTCTTCCAAGCAAGATTTCTAAGGACTCAGGTGAGAGCTGTTTAGAAACAGATGAGTTCAGTGGTCCTTTTCCTTTGTCATCTAGATCAACTGCCCTTGTCTCTTTGGTTGGGTTGCCAGATAAAATGTAAGAGGCCAGTTAAATTTTAATTTTAGATAAATAACAAGTAACTTTTTAGTGTAGCTCCTACATATTACACTAAGAAAATTGATTCATTGTGAATCTGAAATTGAGATTGTAATTGGGTGTCATATTTGTTTGTTCTGAATGAAGTAGCCCTCCTCTTTACCCACCCAGATTGTAGAAAGAGGCAGAGGGAGCAAGATTGTCCCAAGATTGTCCTGAGAAGCAGAAATGGATCTTTTTTCTTTGGCCTGGCGGGAAGCCGGTTGAGTAAGTGAGAGAGACAGGGAGGAGATAAGCTTCCTAGGCTACCAGGCAATGAAAGATCAATAAACATTGTTGACAATCAGAGGAGAAAGTGGGAGAGTTTCTATGAGAAAGTCTGGAGCTGAATTTTCAGGGGAGTCTTTTTTTGTGTGTGATTTTTTTGTGGTACTGGGGATGGAACCCACATGCTACGCAAGCTCTCTGTCGCTGAGCTACACCCCATCTCCAGAAGGAGATTTTGCAAACATCCTTAGCAGCTCTTTCTCCCACTGCCCAGATATCTGTGACCCTTCCAGAACCTTCCCAAGTCTCCCCATCTCTTCTGGAAGGTCATGAATGAAGACCCAGCCCCCTTTCTCACAGTATCCCCCACACTCTTAAAGAGGCCGTGGTCATGAGGTAAAAGCCAAGCCTTTGGAATGAATCAGTCCCATCCTGGTCATTTCAGTGCTGGTAGATTCTAGGAAATCACATGACCTTTGGCAGTGCTGGGGAGTTTCAACACAACTTGCTGCTCTTTCAACTCCAGTGACCAAGTGTAAGAGGGCTTTGTTCAAGTGGAACACCCCAGTCCCAGTGAGTGATTTCAATTAGGCAATGTTTATGGAGGGAAATGACAAGCTGAATGTGGGTTTCTATCCAAGTGCAGATCAAGGCTCTGGGAAGTTAGAATTGTCGAGAAACTTCCCATTTACCAATCATGGCTGAAATAAGGTTCTTTCCATGGTCTTCCAAGGGTAGAGATGGTGGCTTTTTGTGTTTGCTTTTTCTGTCCTGCTCTTTGACTTTGGAAAGTCCCAAGGATTGAACACTGAAATAAATGAAGATTATAGACCTCCCACAGAGATCTATTTCTCTCCTAAAAACCCTCCAGAACCAGTTCTGGACTCTAATCTCAATTGCTTAAAGCAACTCCAGTTGTTCCTTTAAAAAATCTCTGTTCTGTACTCACAGATATGGCCAGGTCTGCTGACCCTGAGGGGAGCTTTCTCATTCCAAGTCCTTGGGACTTAAGACCTTGAGCATTTTCTCTTAAATTTTTCAAATGGCATTAATGAAGTAATGTTAGGTATTTTCTGCCACAATAGTCAGATTTATTGTTTTTCACCACATACCTAGCAAACTGTTCTCCATGGGCTTATAATCAGGAATAACCTGAAATTGATTTCGTGCTGCAGAAGTAGTCCAATTGACTGGGGTATAATATTCAGTGAGTCCTTGCCTTTCTGAGCCAATAACTCCCTTGTGAAGTCAGTTGTCAAGGTCTCTGACTAAGAGCTAAGAAGGGAGATATTAAATACTAAGTACATGTATTTGCAACCCGGAGTGTAAGGGTCGATTCTTTGGGCTGAAGAGAGGATCCTGCAATGGGTAGTTAATCAGTCTGGGTTAGGTAGTGAGGCTAGCATTTCAGTGACTAGGGGAAGGGTAATAATATCAGAGGTTCAGGGAGAAGAAGTTTCCCTCTAAGAGAATCAAATAATAATGCTACAATTAATGCTAATTATAATGGTACAATTTATCTGACACAGGTTGAGACTCCAGGCATAACTAGACATGATAGGAAACTGGATATAATATGGAGGGACTAAGAATTAGCCTGGCAAACTGGGGGAGGTTAGGTGTGGGGAAGAGGATAGAGGGAGAGAGATGAGAAGATTACCCATGCTTCAAGGTCAGAGAAAAAGTCTAGTGGACAAGCAAAGCCTTATAGCCAAGGGTACAACAACACTGATTTATAATCTATGTAAGTAGTTGGAATTGGGGCCCAAAAATAGGAAATAATGGCTCAGGAGTAATTGTCAACACACAGTAATTGTCAAACAGAAATCTAGCAATCTCCAAGTATTACTGGGAATATCTGTTAGCCACATTGCAAGCCCCAGTGGTGGGTCAGGGTGAGAAGCTGAGGAGGTGGAAGGACTGACTTGGGTGGTGGGGAAGAATCTCCTGGAGACAGAAAAGGCAGGCCTGCTCTTGGAGGAACTAAACTACAGGGCACGTTCCCAGGACCTCTGGTACAGGGGATGAGGAAAAGCTATCACAGAAATAAGAAGACCCACGATCAAATGTTGCACTTGCTCCAGGACCTAGTGCGATTTAGTGCTGATATCAAGCGCAAAGACTGAGCTCCTCAAATCATCGGGAGCGGGGGGAGTGGTACAGTTTACCGTGGAGTGGTACAGGGCTTAACCAGGGTGTAAGGGAAGGGAGAACAGGGCTGGGGCGGGGGCAAGAGGGGCAAAATCTGACACTGAAATCTGTTCTGCCTTTACAATCCAGAGAGAGAGAGAGAGAGAGAGAGAGAGAGGCATTCTAACCATTTTAATTATGAAATGAATATGAATTATGGCAGTTTTGAATATAAATAACAGGTCACACTTTTAGAAGCTAGATAAATTGGACTTTCCCAAACTTATTTTGGATTTCTTATTGTTTTCCACATTATTTTTCAACATTTCTCCTCCTTCTTACGTTAGGTATGCAGCAACAGAAAAATAACTTTAACATTTAGGAATTTTCAAGAGTGAAACATACCAGCCATGTATTAATTCAAGGCCGGACCAAAATAATTTAGACATCACCTTAGCAAAGACTTTATTGGCTAATTGGTCTCTGCTGTTCCAATATTGGCTCCAAAGTATGTATGATAATCCCCAAGTTCCAACCTTTCTTTGTTAGTCCTTGTAATAAAGGAATCTGCTTACCCATGATTTCACAAGATTTCATAAGGGAGGAGGTTAAGGAAACACCTTTTAGTTTGGAAAGAAATTTAGATAATTTTCTTCAAAGAACTACACTTGCAGTTTAACTCGCTCATGTAAATATGTTAAGGAAAGCCTCAGTTATCCAAAGGGAAAACACTTTCAGTGTAAAATGTAATGCTTTTTGTCTAATTTATAGGCTAATGAGCAGTGACTCTGAACTGCTCCACGTGTGAAAAATGATAAAGAACCAGGGAAAAGAAAACATATTGTATAATTTGTCTTTCCGTGTGATGTGATTCACCCAACAGGTCTGATCGGGTTTTTCATTGCCTTTGGTGTCGCTATGGGGAAGATGGGTGAGCAGGCCAAGCTGATGGTGGAGTTCTTCAACATTCTGAATGAAATTGTAATGAAGTTAGTGATTATGATCATGTGGTAAGTGCCTTTATTCTTACTTCATATTAGCTGGGTATGAGAAGAACTTGAGGTCCCCAAAGGATACTGGAGCCCTTCCAGCAGGAAGGAGTGAGCGTGAGGTGTCAGATGGCTCTCCAGAAAAAATTTGAGAAAGGGGTCGACATCTCCTTTCCTTGAGCTTCCCCTAGAACAGATGTCAGCAAATGATGACCATTGGGCCACATCTGATGATTGTATTTGCTATGAATTGAGAATGGGTGGTTTTTTTTGCTTAAATTCTTTTATTGGTACATTTTAGGTATACAATACGTTTACATTCATCATTGGGTGCTTGTACCTGTACATGATGCATCTTGGTTCTTATTTTTTCCCCATTCCCTGTGCTCCCTTCACCCCCTCCACCTTTTCCTATTTACAAAGGCTTTGTTTCCATTTTTTTCTTTTCTCATAATTTCCCTTCTTTCCTTTCCCCTTCCGCTCCCACTTCCCCTACAACTTTGGACCTTTTCTTCCTATTTTGAATTATCAATTATTCATTTTAATCATTTTAATCCTTATGTACACTTTCATTTTCTCACACTAGAGAAACTATTCGGTATTTACACATGTGGGTTTTGTTGTTTTACATGTCTGTCTTAGTGCAGGCTGCTATAATAAAGTACCATAGATTGCTTGGGTGGTTTGTACAGAGCAGAATTTGTTTCTCATAGCTCTGAAGGTTGGAAGTCTGAGATCAGGTGCTAGCATGGTCAGGTTATGCTTAGGGGCCTCTTCTGAGATATAAATGACCAACTTCTCTTTGGGTCCTCACATAGTGGAAAGAGAACAAGACAGATCTCTGGGAATTATTTAGTAAGGCCATTGTTTTAGTCCATTTCAGCTGTTATAATGAAATACCTTAGTCTGAATAAATTTTAAATAGTAGAAGTTTGTTGCTCACCGTTCTGGAGGCTAGGAAATCCAAAATCAGCTTCCCGGGCAATGCTAGATGTCTGAATACAGAGATAACTGGATTGACGAACTTAATTCTTTCCTCCATTCTGGTTGCAAATCAAATTGGACCAGAACCAAATCAAATTCAATGATTAGATTTATTGTTGACCTTATGGGGAAATTTGACTCAGTTCTCAGCCAATTCAGTTTGCGACCAGAATTGTGGAAAGAATTGAGTTCGTGAACTGAATGAAGCACCACTGTATTTTGTTTGTGTGAAGATTTCAGATGACAAGGTAGTACTGTACAAAGTATCCTTTAAATGCTTCAGATCCATACAAATCTGCTGAAAGTTTAATAAATAATAATACATAAAATGGAATATGCTTCTTTAGGCATCAGAATCTGCCCTTGTTTCCTAGAATTTCTCAAAGAATGTACATTCCTGCTCTGAAGACGATGCTGATGGTGTGCATAATGTATGCAGATTTCTTCCTGCTTCCACACCTGTATCATTTCTACTGAGCCAAATCTTAGGAAAGGGAATTGTCCAGAAATCTGATGAGTCTGTGGGATAAAGTGTAGCCTCCCTTCTCCCCAAGACTGGAGGGTGGTGTGGATTAAGAATTTCCCATGCATTGGAACCCAAACTCCTACAGTATAGCCTCATCTCCTGGGGGATGAAGAGACATTGTGAAGCAGGAGTGAGGCCTCAGGAATGATTCCTGACAGCTGTTGGGTTACCTCATCTAGGCAGTCAGGAGGGTGTTAATGACGGGAGATGCCTGATTCTACACATTCCTTTCATTCTTTAGCTGCCTCACATTTGATAACGATGTGTTTAATGTTCTGTGTAAAAAAGCCACACACTCTAACTGACTGCTGAAAGCTGAAGCAATCAGGTTTTTTTTGTATTCCTCTCTATGTAGTAGTAAAAATAGCAATAACAGTAAAAATTAACATTGAGAAGATAATAGTTATTAAGTTATAATCCAGAATTATTAATTTTTGATACATATTAGTACTACTGCTATTACTATATGTGTATTAGCCCATTTATTATTGAGGAAATATTATTATTAAATTATATCTAAGATTTACCAAATTCCTGCTATCTGCTTAATATTATCCTAGATTTTTAACACGAATTAGATCACTTTTTCCTTGTAGTATTACCTAACAAAAACAGGCACTTTCATTAGCCCGAGGTCCAGATGAGAAAGCACAGAGGCTGGCCTGCCCTGTGCTGTGGAGTTCTGCGGAAGGTGGTGTCTAACTCAGTGTCTTTCTGACTCCAGATTGGGTGGAATTCAGGGTCCTCTTGTAACAAGCTGTGTGACATTGGCCAGGGAGGCACATTCCAAACCCCAATATCCTGGTCCTTAAAATGAGATGTTTGTAGAATCCAGTGTTGCTGTGAGAAGCAATTTAGATTGTGAATCACAATCATGGAACATTTTCTTTGTGTTGGAAACTCTCTTGGCATTTTCGTGAACTGGCATTACTATGGCTGCCTTGTTAAGACCGTTATTATCATCTTTGGAAGTATGGCCATTTTCACTATATTGGTTCTTCCTACCCAGGAGCAAGGGATGTCTTTCCATTTTCTTATATCTTCCTCGATCTCCTTTTTCAGAGTGCTGTAGTTTTCAGTGTAGAGGTCTTCTGCTTCCTTCGTTACATTGATTCCTAGATACTACATTTTTTTGGATGCTATTGTAAGAGGAATTGTTTCCCTAATTTCTCTCTCAGTGAGTCTGTTATTTGTGTACAAGGCGGCTATTGTTTTTTGAGTGTTGACCTTTCATCCAGCTACTGTACTGAATCTGTCAATTAAGTCTATAGAAGTCTTTTGGCGGAGTTTTTTGTGTCTTCTATGTAAAGTATCATATCATCAGCAAATAATGACAGTTTAACTTCTTTCTTTTCTATCCTTATTCCTTTTATTTCTTCCTCTTTTCTAATTGCTGTGGCTAATCTTTCCAGAGCTAAATTGAACAGGAGTGGTTATAGTGGGGATCCTTGTCTTGTTCCTGATTTTAGCCTGAAAGTTTTCAGTTTTTGACTATTTAGTATGATGTTGGCTGTTGTGACTTCTTTAAGAACCCTGAAAAGCCCTTTATTTTGGAGTGGCTTTCATATCCTAATTTTTTTCAAAGTTCTTTTAAAATTTTAGTTTTGGAATCTGAAAAACTTTCATAATCTCCCACTATAAAAACATAAAGTAAGAAATAAAGTCTTTACCCACTCTTCAAAATATCGCTACCAGTTTATCATCCCACTCATCTATCCATACTTGTAAAGCAGAAGCTCTTATTTCATGACACTAATCATCACCAAGAGTGAAGGGGATTCTGGCTAAACAGGATTCTAGCTGAAGATAGCCACTGTGAGCAGTTCTCATCTGGTGGATGGTAGAGGATGAGGAACCTGATCAGATATGGTGGGTCATCAGATTGAGGCTGGGGATTCTCTTTAAACTGACTCAGCAGGGTTCTTTGCTAAAACTAGGTTTTATAAGGAAGTGTATGGATGGGCCCAGAAAGTGGGGTAATCTGACTAAAGTTTGGTCAAACGAAGAATCTTTATCAATAACCCAGCTATTCTTTCATTTAATAAATATTCTGATCTGTGCCAATAATGATTGTAGTCACTGGTTATATAATGATGAATAAGACAGAGGGTTCTTGCCTTCATGCAACTTATGTTCTAATGAAAAGAGAAGGACAAGTAAAAGGAAGCTGTTAGGGCTTAATTATGACGTATACCCCCAAAGTCTCATGTACTATGGGCTTGATCCCCAAGGCAACAGTGTTCAGAAGTAAGGCCTAGAGGGGTGATAGGTTCATGAGGGCTTTAACTTCATCAAGTCAGTTAACCCACAGATGAGATTAATCTGATGGCATTATTGGGAGGTGATGCAAACAGACCTAGTGAAGGAAGTGGATCATAGGGCCATGACCCTAGGGACTTTATCCATTCTCTGGTCCTTCCTCTCTGACTCTCTCCCTCTCTCTCTCTGCTCTCTGGCTGCCATGAGGTGAGCAGCTTTTCCCTGCCACATCCTTCTGCCATAATGTTTCTGCCTTGGAGCCTCCTGCCCCAAACATGATCTGAAACCATGAGTCAAAAAAACACCTCTCCTCCCTTACGTTGATTTTCTCAAGTATTTGGTTACAGTGACAAAAAGCTGGCTAACCAGAAATAAAGAGGGATTCAGATTGTGCTAAGTGCTGCAGAGATGATAAAGCAGGGCTGTGAGACAGAGTGCTGGGGGTAGGGTGTGTGTGTGTGTGTGTGTGTGTGTGTGATGGCAGTGAGGGACAGATAGGGCTGTGTGGGAAGGTGACAGCAGGAAGACCTGCAGAGTGGGCGGCAGGCAGCTTGGTGAAGAACTGAGGGGAGAATATTCCCAGGGGAGGAAATAATAAGTGAGAGCCTTCTGAGGGTCAGAATAAAGGGCTGATTGGCCTGAGTGTGGTTGGTTGGAGACATAGGCAATTCTTGAGTTCCTTGATTTAACTACCCCATGTGTCTGTCCTACCATCTTGTGCCAAGCCTTAACTTCAAAGCTCTTAAGTAAAGTGGAACTAAAGTAAATTGCTTCCAGTAGCTAATCTACATCTCATCATCTGAAGATGAGATTTTTGTTCCTTGAAACACTGGTTTCCAAGTATATCAGATTACCTGGGAACATATTTAAAATATAAAAGTCCTAAGGCCAGCCCTAGGTGGTGAGCCCAGGGAAGACATACTGTTAACAGACAGTAGGGTGATTCTGATGCAGCTGGTCCTTGAGTAAAGACACGTGGACTGAGCTCTGGGTATGTTGAGTGCTGTAGATGACTTTGTGATGTGGAATAAAGAATAGTGGTGTGTGTGTGTGTGTATGTGTGTGTGTGTGTGTGTGAAACCTTTAGGCTGACAGGAGCTAAGGTTCAAGGTGAATGGAGGCTACTATATACAATGGATGAGGTGAGAGTATGAAAAAGAATCAGACAGGCCAGTCGTGGATGAATAGTGGCCTTGAAAGCGCATGAGCTGAGACTGTGACAATCTAAAGGCGGCATGGAAGCCGTTCCCTCCTCCTAGCTCACTCAATGGTCATATTTTAGAAACTCAGAAATAAGGCCATCAATTACTGGGCGTCATTTGGTTTTAGAATTCTCAATGGATCCTTGAGCCTCTATACATTTTGATTTGTGGCTTTCTTTGTTGACTTCATTTCAGAAATTGTAGATCTTGAGCATTTGCCTTTTCTTTTCCATGGAATGTCATTTGCAATGAGATAATTCTTTGATATGGAAGCCCAGGAACTCAGAAGTCCCAGGTTCTGAATAGAGACTTGTTTCTTGTTTTCAAAACAGTTACAGGGAACTAATGGCTCTAAAAGGCATCATAGAAACAAAGGTTCTTTCCTTGTACCATAATTAAGGCTTACACTAGTCCTGGAGACCAAGGTGCTTGGGTTAACACAAGGTGCTGCATTCCATATTTATTAACCCCAAACTTGACCTCTTGGCCTTCAAGTAATACTCTCCATTTACAGTGGAAGCTCATGCTTTTCCGAAGCAAGCTGCATGCTCTGAAGGTAAACTCTTGCTTCTGTCTAGTCTGTTTGGCTTGGGCTCAAATGCATTCTCCAGGGACCTGTATAGCTAGTCTCCTTGGCAAAGAGCCTTGCAAACATTTTCTCTCCATTCTACAAATTGCTTGACTCAGAAACAAAAGAAAATTGAACGGCACCTGAAACAGCTCATATCTATGTTTTTCTGCATTTCTTTAAAGGGTGATTGGTGTTTGGGCAAGAATTGATCTCTTGCTTTATTAAGTTAAATGCTTTCTGGCTTCATAGGAAGGTGCATCCTGCTCAGTTATTTGCAACCTCAGTGGCAGAGTGCTGGCCCCTGGGATAATCTTGTTGATTAATGAGATGTTGTGACTATGGGCACACTGAGAAAATGTCAGATGGAGGGAAAGACAAGAGTTTAATGATACTGCAGACAGTCTGTACCAAACTCTCTAATGTCTAAGGAAACAGTTCTCAGACAGAGCCAGCCCGCACCCCTAGGAGATGACACGTGATGTTCAGGCTCCATGTTCATCAGGGAAGAGTAGCTATGCTAATGTCATAACTTATCACTGTCAATCACACATCCATTCTTTCAGGGTAAGGTTCCTCTTGAGAGAATATTTTGTTCATAAAGACATGTGCCATTGGGCAGCCTGTCAGATGTTTTAGAAAGCCTCATTAACTCAGACTTGACTCATTAAGCATGGAAAATAAGAGGATATGGGATCTATGTGCAAAAATAGAACTGATACAGAATCATTTTGTCAGGAGTCTGAGAGCTAATGGTACCAATAGGCACAGAGAGGGATTTTTAACAGTGTGCTCATGTGCGTGTTTAAAAGTTTAATCCTCATAGCAACCTAGTGAGGATGAAGTCAACCTCTCCAAGCCTTGATGTCCATATCTGTAAAATGGGAATAAGCCACTGAACAAGGTCATTTAGCTGTAAGTGGCTGGGAAAAGGTAAAGTCTTCTGTAGTTGTATGACTTTCAGCTGCTTTTCACAGCTTTTCTTTAACTATTTTAAGGAAAAGACTTGATCTAGGCACAAATGAAAAAAAGTCTATTTAGATAATATTTCTTTCTTTCTTGACTCTTTCCCCTGGAGCCCTATCTAGGAACTTTATTTTCTCCATAGTCTTTCTTACAAATATGCTTATAATTTTTAAGAAGGTATCAATCTTCCCCAAAATATTTTTATTTCAGTAACTTTCACAATTTGCACAAATTCAGGCCCCAGCCAAACCACTTGGATTAAAAAAACAAAAAAGCATGTGGCCAGAATTGCAAATAAGCTCAAAATGAGAGAGAAAACAGTTAGCTCTCCCAAGAGTGCAAACCAAAGTAGTTTATCGCTCTCCATAAAATAATAATAATATAGAAATATAAAATAGGTTTATAAGGGATAAATTGTTATATGATGAATTGTCTCCTTATCTACAAAGAGCTATGATTGCTCACTAAAGGGAAAGGACTTGGGTTGATAGGGGAATACCCCCGAGCTGTGGAGTTTCACAGATCTGTGGTTGTTCTCTTACTTCCTGATTTTGTAGCCTTGGGCTGATGATTCAGCTTTTCCAAACTATAATTTTTCATTTTCCAAATAAAAATAAGGATACCTACCTACATTTTAGGGTTATGGTAAGAATTAAGTGAAGCTGAAGATGGGGCTCTCCCACATTGAAACACAATGAATGGTGGCCAACATTTCTCTTAAAGTGATGCAAAAATACTTTCTGGCTTAGAAGTCATAAAACTTTATTTCTCTAAATGGACTCCTTGGCTCAGATGGTTTTCTTGTTTTGGCAGCTTGCTCTCTCTTTCTCTCTCTCTTTCCCTCTCCCTCTCTCATTTTAATATATTCCCTGTCTTCCAAGGCACAGACAATGCAAATTTACATACCTTCGCTTATAAATTTCCAAAAAAGCTCCAAAAGTTATTCTCAAATTTCTAGGAAGGAGCTGAAGAAGACAGAAATCAAACAAGATTTGCAAAGATATATCTTATGTTTCTCAACGTTTAACCTGTTGGTTACCTGAAAGATGGTAAAGCTAAAAGATGGTAAGGCATGTCTCCTTTGTCCTAAAACTCACCTGAAAAACAAAGTTAGCCTTTGGACTTTTTGTCAGAGCAGGAGTCATAGAGCCATAAAACAGACTTCAGTTAAGGCAGTTAGTCTGAAATAAAAAATAACATCTACTGAATCTCATGATCCTATCTCAGCAAAACTCTTTAGACAGAAAATGAAGGGTTTCCCTTGGGGTGCAGTACATAGAAGGGCCCAGATTTAAGTTCTAAATCCCATAATGATGTCTTCAATGGTCTTTTTCCTTTTCTTTTGTGTTTTTCAGGTACTCTCCCCTGGGTATCGCCTGCCTCATTTGTGGGAAGATCATCGCAATCAAGGATTTAGAAGTAGTCGCTAGGCAACTGGGGATGTACATGATCACAGTGATCGTGGGTCTCATCATCCATGGGGGCATCTTTCTCCCTTTGATTTACTTCGTAGTGACCAGGAAGAATCCTTTCTCCTTTTTTGCTGGCATTTTCCAAGCTTGGATTACTGCCCTGGGCACTGCTTCCAGGTAGAGAGTACAGAAACATCACATTTCTCATTGCATGCTCTTTTGCTCTGTTTGTTACTTCATATTTTTCAAAATTCTCCTATCACAATGTTCAGTGAGAACACTCTTCACATATTATTAAATATTTTTGAAAAGGTGAATTTTTGGCTTTTTCTAGGAACTTTGGAACCTGCCGATGAGCATGTTTGCTGGTTTGCAACTGTGTTGGAAATATGATCATATACTACATTTCTAAATGAATACATGCTCTTAATTTGCATGCTTAACTTGGTACATAAAGTATTAATTGAGTTTAGCTTTAAATTTTTTCCAGAATGGTAGAACAGGATGTGGTGCAGTTAACATCCCACCTGTGATTGGGAAAATGTTATGACAAAATATCATTCTATTGAGATGCTGGCAATTAATTTTCCAAAAGTAGGAGAACCAGCTTTTACAGGTACACATATGTTAAGTAAGAGTTTTCAGACACGTAGAAGTCAGCCAAGTCTTTGACCTTGGCATGAACTTCTAATGGATCATTCTGTCCCGGTTTAATTTTAACCATGCTTATTTGACTTGACCTTGACAGAGACTCAGTTCCTCCTTCATAACTTAGTTTTGGTAATTAGGGAGCTACCAAGGACCTGAGGTATATGCAAAGAAAATGATTTCGTAGTACTGGGGATTAAACTCAGGGCCTTAGCACTGAGCTACATTCCAACTCCTTTTTTATTTTTCATTTTAAAACAGGGTCTTGTTAAGTTGCTAAGTTGTTCTGGCTGGGCTCAAATTTGTAATCCTCCTGCCTCAGCCTCCCGGAGTTCTGGGATTACAAGTGTGTCTCACCACACCCCAGCTAATAATTTTTAATGGACTAAAATTAGTGAAAATGAAACAAAGAAAAAGAAATACATAAGCGATGCCTGACAGTTTAGAAGCCCAAAGAACAAAAGAGTTTTAGAGACTCACCCTGCAGTAGTTTTATTCTTGGGTCACAAAACACAAGACAGGCGGTAGGGAGGTAAACAAACCCTGACACCCACAGCTCAGGGCCGCGTTCTCACTTAGCCCGTGATAGGCATGGCTGATGAGCTGGCCCTCCGTGACAGTGTGGCCTGCTGTTTTAAGGCCACTGAGCAAACAGTCAGGTTTTCTTTAGGTGACTTAACAGACCCACAGTGGTGACCAGCTGGGAAGTCAAATCATGACTTCCATCCTGCAAATCAATGAGAAGTCCATACTACTAAAATCTGGGCTCTCAGGAAAAGCTGAAATTTATACAATCTTGAGAACCCAGGTTTGGCACCCCGTTTCCCAAGATAAAGAAAAACACTTCAATATTTCCCTTTTCCTTTTTGATTTTATGGATCCTTCTGTGGCTAAGTATCTCTGCTTATAAAGATCCCAGAGGAAAAAGTAAATCTTTGTTTTTCAAAACTAAAACCAATCTTGTTTACTTTTATTTTTGTTTTCTGGTTATAACATAGTATTTGGTCATTGTGATAAAGTCCAAGTGTGGATATGATTTTAAAGAAGACAATGGACATCACCAGTTAGTTATGTATCACCAAATGGTAATTGATAATAACCTTTTAGTTAATCTTCATGTTTGTATATCTTTCCAATTCTTACTATGTACTTGGGAACTGCTATTTTTTCACTGATCAATGTTAAGAAATTATATTATATCTATTAATAGAGATATTTGCTATTATTTTGTAAACTATATAAAGTACACTGTAGACATCTCACTCTACCCAGTAGGGTACATTTAAAGTATGTCTATTGAAAACAGCTGTGACAAGCATCCTCATAGATACATCTCTGCAAAATTGTCAGATGATTTTCTCAAGATACACTTCTAGAAGCAGAGTTCTTTAGTCGAATGGTATGCACAGTTCTGAAATGTATCATCAGATTGCAATTTAGGAAAGCTCATTATCTTATGTTCCCCTTGGGTTTGAGAGTGAGCCCTTTACCATCTACTCCCCAGGGCTGGACATATGTCATATTCTGGACATATGTCAGTTACTTCAATGCATTCCAATCACATTTGTAAAAACGTATCTTATTGAATTTGTACATCTTTGATTACTGATGAGGGAAAACTGTATTTTTGTGTTCTTATTGATTGTTCTTTCTTCTGCCTCTTGAATTATGTATGAACCAGCTTATTTTTCCTTTGGGGTACTTATCTTTTCCTGATTGGTTCCTGCCTCAAAGGCCTATGACCATCTTCAATATTGGTAATAATAATATCAGATACATACATAATATCCTATTTATATATAAGAATTTTTAAAAATTAATTTTATTGGTACATTTTAGGTATACAATATAATGACATTCATCATTGGAGATTTGTACCTTTACATAATCTATCTTGCTTATTGTTTTCCCTGTTCCCTTGCCCTCCCTTCAACCCCTCCATCCCTCCTGATTTACAGACTTTGTTTCCATTTTTTCATTTTTGCATATTAATTCCATTCCCTTCTTTCCTTTCCCCAATCCCTCCCAGTTCCCCTTCCCCTATGCACCTTTTCTTCCTATTTCACATTATCTATTATACATTTTGATCCTTATTTACACTTTCAGTTTCTCACACCAGAGAAACGACTTGGTATTTACACATGTGTGTCCTATTTATTTCACTTAAGAGTATCGCCTCAATGTGCATCCATTTAGCTATAAATGACTCTAAGTTCTCATTCTTTATGGCTGAGTAGTACTCCATTTATAAAAAAAAACCCCACATTTTCTTTATCCAGTCTCCAGTTGATGGGCAATTGGGCTGTTTCCAAGTTTTAGCTATTATAAACTGTGCCGCTGTGAACATGGGTGCACATATATCACTGTGGTATGATTCTTTTGGGAAGATCCCCAGCAGGGGAATATCTGGGTAAAATGGGACCTGTAATCCTAGTTCTTTGAGGTATCTCCTTACTGATTTCCACAGTGGTTTCACCAGTCTACACTCCCACCAGCAGTGGGGCAGGGTTCCTTTTCCCCACAACCCTGCCAGCATTTGTTATTGGTTGATTTCATGATAGCAGCCATTTTTTTCTGGGGTGAGGTGGTATATATAAGAATATTAACGCCTATGTCACATGTTGCAAATAATGTCCACAGTTCTGCATTTGGCATTTGTCTTAAGCATTTAAAGTACTTTTGCCACTAGAAGTTTTTAATTTGTATGTAGTCAAGGCTGTGAATATATCCTGTGGTATTTAGCATTTTAGTTTTGCTCAGGCCTGCTGTTTCCACCCATAACTATAAAATCTTACCTTATATTTTCTTCTGGTATCCTTGTGATTTCAATCTTTAAAATATTTCAAAAATATTATGATGTTCTTTTGAATGATTAGACCCTCATCCCAGTATATTTTTAAGACATTGTAAATCTTAAAGGGCTGTGGATGGTACCTCCTGGTATCTAAGACAAAGACAAATGCTTGTGTGCTGAAAATGTTAGACACATTTCTTCCCTTACCTTTGTATTGCATTTGAAAAGAATATCATTTTAATCTTTACTTAAAATGTGATTTTTTTCCCCTGATGTTGTCTCTTTTTTTCAAAAAGCAATGTGGCAGGAATCATATACCAAGAATCAATAATTAACTCAGGGGGCCCTTAATGGGGAAAAAAATGGAAAACTTAGGCCCACAGGGGAAATGATGTAAAACCTAGGGTCATCCTACGAAGTACCCTTTCTTCCTATTTGGACTTCATATGATTGAGAATGTCCAAGGTGGTTGATTGACTCTTCTCAATGGATACGGAGACTGGTGTCAAAGAGGATGCATACCTCTGTGCATCCTTCTGACTTCAGTGTATGCTGTTAAAACTAATCTGGAAAAGAAGAATCTCGAGTATCTGACATTATTATTAGCAACATTGGAAGACAGTCATATGGCCTTTGAGGTAGGAGCCAAAAAGCAATGCCAGAATGTTAGCCTGTCAACACAGGAAAGCATTGAAATTCTCAAGTCCAATTTGGATTGACTGGGTAATGTGAATTTGTAAGAAAAAAAATATATCATCCACCCAATACAGAGGTAGAGATTATTTTTATATCTTGCCAATCATTTTTCCCAATCTCTATAATTATCTAAAGACCTTTTAATGACATGTCAGAAAAATGAATGCTGTAATAAAAATTAATGTATTTCAGTGATTCCAGAAGTATGCTTAGAGCCATACAAATGAGGATTTTTAGATTATTCATAGTGTCCTGCCAGCCCTTTAGAAGAGTTCCAGAAAAGGGTGAGGGGAAGGGATGAGAGGAATAAAGACACACTAACTTCTCACTAAAACAGCTGGGGCAGCAAGCCAGGTACAACAGTATCGCCTGCATGCAAATGAGGCCAACCCCAGCTTTTCACTTGGGCTCACAAGTTTTCACTTTTGAGACATCCCCAAACATTCATTTCTTCACCCGAAGTGTGAGAAAGAGGCATTGCACAGGCCCTTGACCTGTAATCGCAAAGTCTGTTCTGGTAGGATGACTCTGGCTCCCCGAAAGATATTAGAGGTTGCAGGTCAGTTTATGATGCAGATTTGGGGATCTCCAGTTTTAGAACTCTGGGCTTCTTAGTCCGGAGTAGATCCTGGAATCTACATTTTACTTAGCTGATGGGTTTTTTTCCACTCCAAGAAACTGGGAACTTGATATCTGTGTCCAACCTGGTTGGAGCCCCCAATTCTAACTAGTAGAACATGGTAATTATGACTAAGGCTGTAAGTGCAAGAGAGAAAACACCTCCAAATGCTGTCTGCAATGGAGGTTTTCCAATTTGTTTTGCTAAGACTTCAGTAGAGCAAAATCAAAAGAGAATGTACCGCAGTGTACTTCCATGCTATTTGAGTGTTCTGCATTGTTTTTTATTTTACTTAAACTTTGAAGCAAATCAACTTCCTATGCAGAAAATTCTGGCTCAGGCACCCTTGTTCTTACAGGTCTCCTATTTTTGAAGACATGTGAACATGTCAGGAATCTAGCCTTTGAGGCTGGGTCAGGTGGTTTAATCCCCAGCCCATACTGTGTCTTTGATTAGCTACAGAGTGCATGTTTTTCTGCACCATGTCATTGTAGAGACTTGGAGCTGGCAATGGCTCTATATCCAGGATTTTGACTACATGTGAATTTCCTCAGTGAATTGCACAAAGCTGGGATTCCTTTCAAGGTTGTTTGACACGTTTCCCCAGCATTCTCCAAATTAGCAGGCCCAGCCCAGGGCAATTCCCAGGAGCCGGGTACAATCACCATTGTTATTTTGTTGGAGACAGCATTTCTAGCATGAAGCTACAGGTCATTCAGAAATTCTTTATTACATTTTACAGTTGACAGCTGATTCTTTTCTGACATAATATTGTTTTTGCTATCCAATTCATGTGGTCTTTCAGATATGCTTCAGTATTTAATCCAAGATGAAAGTAGTGACCAAAAGAAGATGAGAACTCAAAGCTCTGAGTCCTGGCTCAAAAGCCAAGACAATGAAAATATTTTTTCTGCCTATTACCATTTTAATAAGATTGAATTTGAACCTCTAACTCACTGGATTTTAATTTGGCTTAGTATACTGCTTCTTTGCATGTTACATTGCCTGACTGGAACGAAAAGAACAAAATCTTTCCAGTGTTATTTGTTTGTGCTTTGTCTTGCTTCTCTAAAGTAGATATATTCTCTCTCTCTCTCTTTCCCTCTCTCTCTCTCTCTCTCTCTCCCTCCCTCTCCCCCTAGTGCTGGAACTTTGCCTGTTACCTTCCGTTGCCTGGAAGAAAATCTGGGGATTGACAAGCGTGTGACCAGATTTGTCCTCCCAGTTGGAGCAACCATTAATATGGATGGCACAGCCCTTTATGAAGCAGTGGCCGCCATTTTTATAGCCCAAATGAATGGCGTTGTCCTGGATGGAGGTCAGATTGTGACTGTAAGGTGAGTGAAATTAAAGCGAGGGGCACAAAAACAACCTTCCCTGATCCCCCTCCTCACTAACTCCTTTTGACAAAGGCTACTTGAATTTCAGTTCCCCTGGTGGACAATAACAGGCAATAACAAGAGGAATTATTGGCAACTTTCAAAAGGAAAAGATTATGACAGGAAAGAAGCAGGCTCATATGAACCCCTTCTGTTCGTATTACACATGGCAATTGGCTTTTGATTGTCAACAGTCCTGTGATGTAGCCAGGGCATTTATTTCTATGCCCATGTAATAGATGAGGAAACTCAGGTTCCAGGAAGCATTGCTGATTGTCCAAGGATACACCAGGAGTCATGAGCTCACAGGGCTGGGCCTGGGGCTGACATAAGCTGATCCTGAATCCAATTTTTCTTTCATTAAAATATGCTCCTTTCAATATTCCAGGAGGTGAGGGCAGAAGTGATGAAATACTAAAATAAATTCCTCAACAGAACCTAAAACATTTTATTACAAATAGCACATATTTTTGTTTTTACTAAAGCTACTTTACCATACCTATTCATTATTATAAAAAATTCAGAGCATACACTCTTCCAAGTGGCCATTAAAATATACTTTTTCTCCATAAACTTAAAAATCACACCTACTAGCCAAGCCAACTTTTCAGCTCCTTATGTATATGTAGAGTCATTGAAAGCATCAATCTTTAAATTATCCAAAGTTGTATTGATATTATAGCATGACATAAAATTTCAGAATCTTCATTTCAACAGCATCATTCCCACTTCAAACAGGAGTTTCAGTTCAGTCAGAAGACAGTTTCTGGCTTTGTGGAAGTGAAACAAGCAATGAGGCAGTTATTGGTATTGTTAGGTCTCTCCCTACTCCCAGTGGCTTAATTTCCCCATTAGCAAATGAGAAAGATATTCAGAATTGGTAGTTCATGAGCTGAAGCCAGCTCAGAACCTTACTCTGTCTGCCTTGCAGTATGTTGTAAAAACTTAGAATTTTAGTGTCTTGTGAGATAATTGCTTTCCAGTTCACAACATTCCCTCTGTTCCTTATTACTTATACCTGGTCAGCATCACCTGCCACTACAGCTTGGCTGTTTAGTACATTTGAGCTTGTGACATTTGGACTCTACAATTAGTGTTTACTTTTCCTCTCTTAGATTCTGTGAGATCAGTAAATATGTGAGTAGGTGAGTCACCTTCTGTATAACAGATGTATTTGCAGAAAAAACAAAATTCCAAAAATTGGAACAGAAAAGGTCCAAGAGATTCATTATGAAGAAAGAACTAGGGAGACATGGAAATCCACTCATTTGTTATCTCTGAGTGGTGAACTTTTTATAAGTAATGCTTTGAACATGTCCAGCAATCCTGAAGAAAAGGGTTAGCCACTGACCCAATTTCACAGAATAATAAAGTGAGGCTTAGAGCATTTATGTGATAAACTTAGGTCCCATAACTATGGGTGCCAGAGGCATAGGTCAAATCTCTATTCCATAGCCAATATCTTTCATCAACCCTTTTTGATTTTTTTTTTTGATACCGGGGATCGAACTCAGGACCTTGCACTTGTGAGGCGGACACGGAGACACTGAGCTAAATCCCTGGCCCCCTTCTTTCTGATTTTGACTCAGAGAAAGATATTAAAATCACTGTTGGGTCTTATTCCCTCTCCGTTGGACATTAAGAAGAGAGAATGTCTTCTGAATTCAGATTAATGCACTGACATTCTTCTCCCTTATGTCAAACCCTAGACAACACTGCCAACCTCTATTTTAGAAATTCTGGTAATAATCAGGTGTCTGGTTGGCTCACAGTTCATTTGACAATTTGTTCTCTGGGAGGACTTTCACGGTCTAGGAGCCACTTTAGGAGACTTGTCCTAAGAGTCAGGATCCACTCATATCTAATTTCTCTACATGCTGGGATTTTTGAAAAGTCCAAACTCAGGGACTAATCAGTGCCTGTAGTAATACCAGAAGTTGCCACTAGTCATGTCCTTTATGTGGTCTATAGGGTGATACTGCACCAGGTACAACTACTTTAGATCCTTGCTTGATTTTTCTAGCTCTAGGGCATTTAACCAGCTCAGAGATTTTTTGGGGGGGGCATCACCAATTTTCTCATCTTTTCTTATAACCATTCCAAAAGATTTAATAAATACATGCATTTGAGCTCATTTTAGCAACTAAGCAAGCAAAAAGAAAAGTCATGTTTAATAACAGAAAACATGAATACTAATCACAAATTTTACTAGTGGCTGTAGGAAATCTAGTAAACTAAGGAACTGAGGCTCAGAGAATAGGTCACACAGCTTTCCAAATGCTGATGTTATGTTTCCATAGATTGAGGACCTTAACCTGTGATCTTAAAAACATCCCTAGAAAATAAATATTGGGTTCTGTAGTTTATAAATGAGGAAGAGGAAGCACAGAAAGGTCAAGTAATTTGTCCAAGATCATATTGTTTTTAAGTGGTAAAGACAGGATTTGAATCCAAACTCTGGGTCTGTGCTTTTAACCATTATGCACGCTGCCTCAACTACACTATATTGTAGGGTTGCATATGTTAATCTGGTGAATCTTTACGATCACTTGTAGTATGTGTTCCACAGAGGTGCATCAGTTTCCTCCTCTGTATGATGAGGACAACAATCACACAATCTGGGGTGGTTGAGACCATTGTCCAGCACATCGTCACTTGTGAAGAAGGGTAGCTATAAGGACTATTACTATGCATGATATTCAATAAAGTACAATAGCACTCCTACAATACCAGAGAAAAATGTGGCAGTGATGTACTGTATACCGCGAAGTCACTCACAATGGAAAACTTGCTTCGGGTCAGTGTGGCAAGCCTTCTAAATCATGTCTTAACAGATATCATGTGAGATTTCTAACCTCCCTTGCTTTAAACCTCACAGGTGAAAAGAGCTTCTTAGTGAAACCCTTTACAAATCATCTGGTGCCTCTATTCTTGGCCTTAATGAGAACCTGGTTCTCCATCAGGTTCACACTATGAGTTGGGAATTTAGGGAGAAGAGAATGGACTATGTGATGGAATTTGTGCTGGAATTATTTAATTTTATCTATGTAGGGTTTGTTTTATATTTACAACAGTTTTCTCTGAGCAAAGGATAAGGTTGGTGATATACATTTAAGTCTCTGGCCACTGAGTTCGGCCAAATCTCCTGAACTGTGGACACTGCAAGAGCTGCTTGGTGGTGGTGGTGATGGAGGCATGAAATACGTAGTTCCACTACCTGCAAATTGTTTGGAAGAAAATAGCCAAGTCCAGCTTCATGCTATGCTGCCAATAAATCCCTCATCCTTGCCTTTCCCTGCTTGCTGAAGAGTGGCTGAGAATTCTCGGTATATTCATTAATCCGTAGAGCTTTCAGGGTGGGGGGATAGGGACTATTGAGAGCTAGATGACACTGAAACCACACAGATGGGTGTTCATGTCCCAGCCATGGTTTATTAAAGCTGTGTGAGCCAAAATTTCCCCACCCATCCAATCCATGGTTTCTCGTGACGAAAGCAAATATGGCCATATATATACCTTTCAGTGTTACTGTGAAGATTTGCCTTGATGGCGTGTATATGATACCTGGCACTGTTTCCAGGAAACAGCCCTAGAGAAGCGAGGGGAGTGGACAGCCAGAAGGGCAGAAAAGGACAAAGGGAATAGGCTTATCACTACGTAAGGAGCTGTTACAGGGCTTAGACTTCTGCAGACCACTTTTCCCATGGGAGGAGGAGGGTATTATTAGGGTGACGGAGCCTACTATCAGGAAGGATTTTCTTGGCAGGATTTTGTCCCAAGTAAACACAAGCTCCTCAGATAAAAAGGCCACAGTGCAAGGGGACCGGTAAGAGCGACTCAACAAAAGCAATCAGTGTTACAAATAAAATGCTGGAGGCCAAGATTGTCGGAGCTTCAGAAGTCCCCATTCCCTGGTGTTCTGTCTGTCTTGGGGAACTGGCTGAGAATCCCCACCTTTCAGCTGTTGGAGTTTGAGGGAAGTTTTCATTGTAAAGTTGCCTCATCCTGACGAGATTCCCTAAGCATAACAGTTCACATCACAGATTAGCCTTGATTCTCTGACCTAAAGGAAGTTTACTATTGTGAGTAACCTCATGATATTCAGTATGTCATTGCCACATTTTTCTCTGATACTGTAGGAATGCTTTTGTACTTTATTGAACATGACTAATAGCAACAGTCCTAATAGACTCTTCTGAGCATTTTTTTTTTACTTGTTAGCTCCTGAAAGTTTTTTGGTATTTCACAAGAGTGAGATACCATTATTATTTCCTTTTTAAAGCAAGGCACAAAAAGGTTAATATGCCTAAAGTCAGGTGCTTAATAAGTGGTAGAGCTGGGATTTGAACATAGGTTGTTCAAAAGCAGAACTTTCACTGAGAACCACTGGCATCTGAACTGGGTCAGACCTAAACCTGGGAAGGATGGCAATGTGGAAAAAACACCTCAACCCATAGACTCTTGAGGGTCTACATTTTACATTTCCTCTCATGTAAAGTTAGGTAAGTTCAAATTACTCTCGACTGTATGATCCCCAGATTCCATGCTCGGTCATACTGATCACCTGGACTTGATTAAGACACATTGAGAAGCTGGCTCTCATTCTGGAGCCTGAGTGCCTACTGTAGGTACTCCAGAATTTTATAATCACAAAAAAACCCAGCCCTCCTCCTTTTCTTTTCAGTGCCCACAAAATCAAGCAGGGGATCCCTATTTTCAGAAGCATTCTTCTATTTAGAAATGACAGCTTCTGTAAATGGCACCTTGACAAAAGAGGAGAAAAATCACTACCAATCATGGGGTCCCAGAGACCCCCTGGTGTCCATACAGCGCCCTTGCGCTCTAGATTAACGTTTTCCCAGAGATGTCAAAATGGTACTGGATGTGGCCTTGTCCCTGCTTGCAGAGAAGATAATGAAGTGCTCCAGAAAGAAAGATTTCTTTTATTCCATTATCTTTGCTTGGGGCCCTCTTGCTGAATAATGTATTTTCCAGCCCATAAAGATCCAGGCAACTGAATTTAATGTCATTTGGAATCTGTTGATTTCTTGCCCTGATGTCCATTCATTTGGGTTTGGATAGTTCCTATTCTGAGTGCTCATGTTAGCATTGGCAGTGACTTCCTCAGACTCTCGCCACGTAGTCCCGAGGCTGGTGCTCAGAGACGTAAGCAGAAATGAATGCAGTTGTGTTCTCATGGGAAGGTTAAGGGTGATTTGTTTTTCTTCTTTAATATTTCCTTGCCTGCTTTTAGAGTTACAATTCCATTATTGGAGTCCTGTGATACATTAGACTAACTGATATCATAATGGAAATAAAGCTCCAATCCATGAATTTATAGACTTCATCTCAGTTGAGCAGAATCCAAACAGCCCCTAATTTCCAGGTCTCTGTCCTTTAGCTTTCCCTATTCCTTGGGGGGAAGAGGAGGAGGGAATTTATGGCTGCAGGGAAATTGGAACTTGAGAATGCCAGGGATGGTTTTGCCAAGACTCTTTCTCTTCCCATGACCTGGCTTTCTCTTTCGCTTTCTCATAGCCTCACAGCCACGCTGGCAAGCGTTGGCGCCGCCAGTATCCCTAGTGCTGGGTTGGTCACCATGCTCCTAATCCTGACAGCAGTGGGCCTGCCGACAGAGGACATTAGCCTGCTGGTGGCTGTGGACTGGCTGCTGTAAGTGCCTGAGATGGGGTTCCGCTGGGGATTGTGATGAATGCCCTCAGGGGTGGACAAGTGGCAAAGCTGTAGCCATTCCCCATGGCAACTCCCTCACTTCCTCCTTGCCTCTAACATATACTGAATATCTCTTGAGAACCAGAGAAGAAAAAGGTGGAATCTACGAGAGCTTCAGTTTAGTGGATTAATCAGTAGATTATAACACCAAGTTAGAAGTATAGTAATTAGGGATCAACTACCGATGAATGCAAAGAAACTCCAAACACTATACTGAGTGAACAAATCTAGATAGAAAGGAGTGTGTACTATGTGATTCCATCTATGTGAGGTGCTAGGAAAAGATAATGTAATCTATAGCAGCAGAAAGAGATCACTGGTTTCTGGGAGTGTGGTGTAGTGAGTGGAGATTAACTGAGAAAGGGCACAAGGAAACCCGAAGGAGTAATAGAAATGTTCTTGATACACAGGTGTCTATATATTATTAAAATTTGCCAAACCATGCAACTGAAATGCACACATTTCTTTGTGCATAAACTACAAAGTAAAGTTTTTTAAATAGTGCACAAATAAAAACAGAGTGATAGGATGGAAGGACAGGATGAAGAATATCAGAAAATGGTGAAAATGGTTACTGAATGTGAGTGCTTACTTGCACCACTACTATGCTGAGCACTCTAAATATTCCTCCATAATGATCCTGAAAGTTTTTTATTATTCCCATATTATAGATGAGGAAATAATCTTAAAGAGGTGAGGTAACTTGGGAATAAACAGTGATTCGACCTTAGACCTTGGTTTGGGAGCCTACCATGTTCTTGTTCATGGCCAAATTCAAGCTTCAAAAGGCAATGATAGCTAAGTCAGGTCATAACTATATAGGTAGAAATTAGCCAGGAATGCACAGATGGAAGGGAAACAGAACATTCCAGTCAAGGCTGCCCTGTACAAAGCCACTGACGCTGCAAACAGTGTGGAGCCCCATAAATGATAAAAGGAGAGGCAAGATGGGCAGACTTGAATGCCATCCAGGGAAGCTTGAATTTGACCACATACACGTAGCCCAGCCACAATTCCCAGTGAAGGGCATTTTCCTAGTGTAGAAGATTTGCTTCCCCTTCATGAAAGTAGGAAAGTCCACCAAAAGTCCCCCAATAGGCTGTTTGGAATGGATCTTCTCTTAAGGGGCCATTTAGACCCTGCTGTTCTATGTACATTAATGCCCTCCATCTAGTCTGGAGTCAAATGATAAAGTCTTTGATACCATGACCTTTGATGTTAGAGACGTAATGACAGGTGCTGATACAGAAATCCAAGGCCCACATTTATGTTGCAAACCATCTGACATACAGCTGGCAATTTTTCTGACATTTATTGGCATGGATTTTGAGAGCCAGGAAGCACATATTACGGACTTGAGTTTGAACCTCTTCCATGGCCCCACCCTTCCAAAGAGAGGAAGATGCAAGAGCCTGATGAGAAGAACATCTGGGAAGGCTAGAGGAAGCCAGGCCTCTGCATAAAATGTGCCTGTATTGGTGCAGACAGAGGGGTGTAGGCTATAAATAAGAAGAGGCTCCCTGGACACAGTCAGTTCAACACAGGAGTCATGGATCTTTCTGGTTGGCTCCTTTGCCATCAGGGAAATGTCCTTGCAGTATGTTGAGTGGGAAGGTCAAGAACAAACTAAATAATCTCATGTTTGCCTCTGCCAGTCTCAGGTAGGTTTCTCTCTGCTAACTTGGTTTCACTCTGTGCTCTGCTTTGGCATCAAGAGTCAGCCTTTTGGGGCCGAGGATTTAGCTCAGTGGTTTTGCCACCTGCTGTGCAAGCGCAAGGACCCGAGTTCGATCCCTGGTACCAAAAACAAAAAACCAACAAAAAAAGAAAGTCAGCCTTTCTCGTGGTATCTGGCCAGACAAAGTAGTTACGATTCAGTGGTGACGTGTGGCAGGAAAGACCAGGAGACGAGAAGACAAGGAGACAAAGGAGTGGGGTAGGATTTGAATGGGGAGGAGGAAACGGGGAGGGGGGGGAATGAAGACATTGTCAGTGGTATGGAAATGAAGTACAAAGTAGGAGTTTAATAAATGTGTGCTAGCCTTGACCACACAGCTGCAGTGTGATCATCAGGGCCTTTCCACACAAGAAGAAAGGCAGAGGATGCTAGTCAGGTTCCACTTGCTTCCCTGTGACTTGTTGCATGCTCACTCCCACCCCTCTGCCTCTTGAGCCTCCTCAATTGGAGTTGTCATTGTCTGCATTGGTTCCTTGTCTGCTGAGACTGTGTTGCCTGCTCTTTTCTTGGACTCGTTCCTAAGGCCTGAGATCTACTCTTCTATATTTATCTTTTAAAAAATTATTGCTATAGAGGCTCTTCCCTCATTACAGTGTAAGTGCCCTTGAGTGGAAAAATATGTAGTAATATTATCAGGAATAAAGAAAAGGGGTTGATAATTGGTGGGCACTGCTACATCTGTTTTGTATACTCCTTGAAAATCTCTGCATCACAGGTGGGAAACTGAGAACGGAGAGAGTTAAGTGTCTTCCCTGAGGCACAGCATAGCTTGTATGGTGTCTTGCTACTCTCTCGTCACTGTATCTGACACCCACAACTTAAAGGAGGAGAGGTTTATTTTGGCTCACAGTTTCAGTCCATGGTCATGTGGCTCCAAGGCAGAAACTGCATGGAGGAAGGGCATCAAGGAGGAAAAGGTGCTCTCGCCATGGCAGCCAGGAAGCAGAGAGAGAAGGGAGGAGCCTGCCACAAGAATACATCCTTTCAGGTCATGTGCCCTGTGATCCACCTCCAACCAGGTCCCACCTCCCAACATCACATTTAACTACTGAACTCACCAGTGGATGACTCCACTGATGAGTACAACACCACCATGATCCAATCACCTTCCACACACATGAGAATTTAGGAGGACATTTTAGATCTAAACCATAACATGTTCTGGGTCCTTCACTCCACCTTGTGCCACCTCCTAATTTGTACCAAGCAGTTCATCTGTGAGAAGAGGAGCAGAGAGGTCCAAAATTGGAAAGGCTAGGGACAACAGACTGACAAGGTCTCCCTCCTTGTGCTGTAGTTTGGATGTTTAGGGACAATAGACTGATAGGGTCCCCCTATGGTATTGTTTGGATGTTTGTTCCCTTCAAAATGCATGTTGAAATTTAATTTTTATTGTAGCATATTAAGAGGTAAGAGTTTTAAGATGTGATTAGGTTATGAGGACTGGCATTGGTGCCATCATAAAAAAGGTGAGCTTCACCTCTTCTTGCTCCCTCTTTGCTCTTCTACTGTCTTCCATAAGCTAGTGCAGCAAGATGGCCCTGACCAGATTCTGGCCCTGACCAGATTCTTGATCTTGGACTTCCCAGATTCCAGAATTGTGAAGAAATAAATTTCTGTTTATAAATTACCAAGTCTCAGGTGTTTTGTAATAGCAGTGCAAATGAACAAAGACATCCCTGGTTCTACATAACAACCAGATTTTCTGTTTGACACATTTTTTTCTCCCTTCCAGGACTAAAACAAAACAAATAGCCTAACTGGGAACAAATGCGGATGTAAGCAAGGCATCAGCCTCTCTTAGAATTCAAGTCCTCCAGCCCCAGTAGGTCTCATATTGTGGACTTTGGCACTCGTTTGCTTTCAAGCCTGTTGCATGAGAATCACTTTATGAAACATTCAAGACCTTGCCTACTTCCAACCTAAGTGTTAGCAAATGGAATGGGAGACTGGGTCCTCTCGAATTACCCTAGGCAGATGCTCACATGCTCACACTTGAACAAGAAAGCGGTGTGTCACAACACCAGGTTTGAAATGGGCCATCAGGAGGGAGTTGGCTGAACACAAACAAGAAAATGATGATACATGTGGATTAACTGTATTGATAAAATCATATAAGAGAAAACTACTGGGCTGGAACTGAAAAGAGAAAAAGAAGTGAAGTTCTCTTCAGCTTTCTTCAGTTCTGAGGCTCTGATCTCAGATGTAGGAGGATATAATCAAGGGGGAGAACAACCCAGAGGCAGGAGAGCTGACTCTGAGCTCTGCACTTATTATCTCTAGGACTTTAGCAATGTACTCAGTCTCTGGCCCTCAGTTATGTTGTGTGTACAATGGGAACTCTAATTTAAGCTTGAGTGAAGTAGTCTAAACCCAATTTCTTTGAGTGCCCTTCTAGTTTTAAGACCTGACATAAAATTCTGTGGAAGATGGCTATTGTTTTTTACAAATAATTACAAACATTTCTTTTAAGAAGAATAGAAAAAAAAGTAAAAGTAAGGGATCCTGGGAAGATAGACACTGGAGGCTGAGTGGGCCCAATCTGCTTTGAATTAGCAATGATGCTGCATTCTTTCTCACCAGCAAGAGGAGTTCTGGAAACAGGAACTTGATGGGGAAGCACCATGGCTTTTGGGAACTCATTAGTGCATAAGTGGGGTAAGTGCCGGGTTGAGGTAGGGGTGCAAGGGGAGGCTGACTGTTCTTAGAAAAGTAGTTTGTAGAGGAGGAAAAAAGGAGTGGAGTTTTTTCTTCTCTAGGCAAAGTCTGTAAGCTTTTGTAACTTTAGCAATTTTTCAATTTAAAACCAAACAAAGCCTTCAGTGACATTTAATGTGTCCCAGTGTTTTCCATCTGCTGGAGACCAGCCAGCCTCATTACTGCCCACTAAATCCTGGCCGCTTTTCAATGGGCAAACTTAGCTGCTCTGTAAATGTCATGGAGGAAACCAAGATTCCAGGCCCTGAAAGTGCCTCAGTCTGAGAGCACCAGATAGCCAGGATGCACTAAAATCAGAACCTTCTCCTGAGCCCAGGAAACCATTTGTGTTGGGAAGGCTGGGCAGATACTTGTTAGAGACATGCTGACACCTTTCTCCATGAAGAAGGAGGCATGAAGTAAAAACTGGGAGCCAATATCAGGAAGAGGTAATAAATAAATGGGTCTGGTCACATCTAGAAAAGGAAAGCCAAAATAAAGTGAA